ATACATATATATGTTTTATTCTTTATCATGTAAATTGGCCAGTGGCCCAAGTACAAATAAATGGATATGCTATTATTTAAACTGAAATTGTATATATACTGTACCGGTAACTTCTATATGGAATGTACATATATCGGTATTTTCTGAAGTATCAGTTGCAGTATACGTAACAGTGGTAGATCCTAAATCAAAACTTGTTCCTGGAGAATGAGTTGAGTTCAACACAACATCACCAGAATTATCAGCTGCAGTTGGTTCTATCCAAGTGATTGGTAACGGTATATTTGCAGAACTTGTCTCTACCGAGATGTCGTTCGGACATCCGTTGATCGTTGGAGCATTACTGTCAATAAATTCTATTTGAAAAAAACAAAATTCGGGTTGACCTTACGGTCGATGAGTTACACGTTTATGCTACCTCCAAAGAAAACAAAATATTAAAAATAATGTGTTTGTGGTAGAAAATGTACTGACGAAAACCTAACCTATGTGTGATTATGTAGAAAGTGTGCTTATTACAATTATTAATGTGTGCTTCACATGAACAATCTGCACATGTAAACAATAACCAAACCTTCGACTGTTACGGTAAAAGTACACTGATCCGAATTGCCTGAAGTGTCTATTGCTACGTAAGTGACGACTGTTTCTCCGACTGGAAATGCACTTGAAGGATTGTGTGTAGGCGAAAGTACTTGAATACCAACATTGTCCGTGGCTACAGGTTCTTCCCAAGTTACTAGCATAGCCGTAGTACCAGCAATAGCCGTTCCATATATATTATCAGGACACGTCACTGACGGACTGGTGTTATCAGTAGGTTCTTTAACAAACAAAACAACATTCATTCTAATATTTAACTGTGAAATATATTTTCTACTTGTTGTAGACAGAGGTGGGGGGGGGGGGGCGTCGGGGAGAGCTGGTCCTCCCGTCGGGAGAAAAAGCACAATTCGTCGGGAGAAAAAAAATTTGTATTTTCTACATATTCAATTCAATTTTCAATTCGTGGACCACTTTCCAAACCTTTAAATCAAAGCGCGACCACACCCACTTTGCTTTTGTCAGGGAAATCTGACCCCTCTCGGGGAATCCCCCCCGTCGGGGACCTCGGTCCCCCGTTGGGCATATCCTGGCGACACCCCTGGTTTTAGACAACTAGAAAATTGTATAGCTACATACAACCTACTAAGAGCAGCATATAATGATATGTATTTAGAAAATAGAGAAGGCCGACATACCAGTTACAACAACAGAAAATGAGCAAGATGCTGAGTTTCCAGAGGAGTCTTCAAACACGTATAACACTGTTGTCGAACCTATATGGAATTCGTCCCCGGATGAATGTGATGATGTTATAGACGTTACACCTTCATCATCTGTTGCTGTGGGGGTAGTCCATGTAGCATTGACAGTTGTTGAGCCTTCTGGAGCTTCAAGTTGGATTGTAGGCGGACATGATTCTACAACTGGAGACCCGTCACCTGATAAAAAGAATTTTTACGAAATCCATAGTGTTTGTTTAACGCAAATGAAAAAATTACGAACAGAATTTATTTTTGTCTAGGAATAAACAACATGACATTTAGGTTAAACATACATTACCTTCGACGGTTACACTAAAGACACAGTAGTTAACATTGTTATACTGATCCATCGCCGTGTATTCAACTGAAGTTACACCAATAGGAAACGTAGATCCTGGAGTTTTGTCAGATAAGAGTGTCACCTTAGCTGTGTTGTCCGTAGCAGTTGGTGGGGTCCAGTGCACAACGCCACCAGCTTGGCTAATATCAGCTGGACAATTAAACATTTGTGGTATTTCGTCATCTATAAGGA